ATCAGTCTCTTTAACAAGCAGGTAAGCCGTGGGGCTGCTCAGTCCCCCGTGGGTGACGTTCAGGAAACAGAAGTGCTCTTCCTGGTCTCCGTGTGATGAAATCACTCTTCCATCTCAGGAATTAAAAGGATGTTTCCCAGCAGGGAGGTGTAGATTGTAGAAAGACGAGAAAAGTAAGTGGCAGAAGTGGTCTCTTGCTTCCTTCCTTCCTGTTCCAAACATGAGAAACTTTCCCCCGCCCCCGTCTGGGGTCCTTTGTTCTCTCCCCCAGGAGCTGCTGTTTGATGAACGCTGGCAGTAGCTGCCTGTGCTGGGAGCTGCCGCAGACATTCACTAAGCCACCGTTCAACTCCAGTGAGGAGAGCTGTTACCTGACTCCTGTGATCAAAGTGGGTGATGTTTTGTACCACCAGTGACATGGTACATGGATTAACAGAGTCCTCCAGAGCTGGACTATCACTGAATATTGAACAATCAGTCTGGGGATGGCCTTTAGCCCGGATGGGACATTTGTGCCACCTCTGCAGCACAGTGCTGTGATTTGACTGGCTTAAATGCACTGAATGTCTCAATGGCTGCAGATCCAGTAGGAGTAACATTGAATGTGTGATATTTATAGGGTAGTTTTAGTAGCAGAAGTAATTCCACTGCCAACCTGCACTGAAGACAAGGATATATTTGTCTGATAGTTAAAATCCTGTAGCTAGCAGCATGTGGGAGCTCTTTGTAGGTTAGCTGTGGTCTGACTTCATGCATTCTCCCACTTCCTGCCCGTGTTTTGCTTTGCTTTTCCTCTCAGAGCTAGTGATTCTGTGTGATCAATAAACTCACAGGGCATTTTTTTTGTTTCAGAAGAAGCCGCTGTAATGATGCAAACAAAACTTGCCTACATCAGTTTAAGATTTCAGACACAGATTATCAAACCAAAGCAGTCACACCTTGACTCCTATTTAATTGGTTGATTAGGTTTGTGGTTTTTTTAAGGTAGGATAATTTTTTTTAGAATATTCCCATCAAACACTCAAAACCACACAAAATGAAATGAGGAAGGTCTGAATACTTCACGTAACATTTTGAGGCAAAGGGGTTGTTTTCATTAGTGATTTTTGCACAGTGCTTTCTGTTGTATTTCCAAACATGTTTATTAGGAGAAAAATAGCATTCTGCAGGTGTTCATCACTTCTTTTGCAGAAGCAAACCACGTGGTTATTTAGTGGGTGCATCTCCAGAGTGTGGTGCCACGCAGCAAAGCTGGACAGGCACCACAGCCCTGTTCCTGCTCCCTGCCACAGCAGCTGAGGAATTACGTGATCCAGCTCTGTAGGGCTTGGCAAGGAGTTCTTCATCAAGGAAAATGCAGTTCAGAGCAAAATAACATGATTAGTTTGTTGGGATTTCTATTAAAACCTCCTCCCAGCTTTGCTTGTACTTTTATGCATTTCATATAGAAGTCATTACAAAAGAACTGGCAATTTGTTGCAGTCTTTAAGGGTAGATCCCCTAATAAATTTGGAAAAGGGAGATATCCATAAAGACAATGAGGAGCAGCACATTCCTGAAACACATACTTAACAGGATTTCTTATGAATGTAATGGTTAGTTTTGTAAATGACTGGATAAAAATCCTACGGAAAGAAACTATTTGACCTTATTCTTTGGCTTTTTTGATTATTCTGGAAGGTGATTTTTTGTGACATCTAGTAGCCAATTTGCATTAATTGATGCTGTAGAGATTTTGAAATGGAAATACTTGTTCCTTGAATTTTAGTTTGTAACGAGACCGCTGTATTTTGTTAAAACTGCTTTGAAGCTTGCTGCACTATATCTTCAAAACAATGTGCTACCATTTGAAACAAGCCAAACGTGTATGCTCTTTATGAATTAGTGAGTGCTGTAAGACAGAAGTCATGATCTCGTCAGTAGCAGCTTTTCTGTTTCCATGGTTTGGGCTTGGTTTTATATGTGTAAGGTAAAATTGATAAATAAGTCTGCTGACGTTTTGCTTTAAACGAACAGCATGGTCATTGGATTACAATCTCCCGTAGCTTTGTGGTGTCACTAAAACAGGTTTCATCGGTTTTTTCGTTTCTGTGATAATTCCACTCGACCCTGAATGTCCGGTAATGCATTTCTTTTATTTAGAGCAATGATGGCTGCATTCAGCAACGCTTCACTACCGTCAAAGAAGGACCAAGTTCTGAATGCTCTGCGTGTCACAGAATGCAGGGCTCGGCAGGAGCATTTGATTGACGTATTTCTCATTCATATCACTTAGTTTCTGATTTTTCCAAGTTATTTATTATTTTTAATATTGTATTTTTCCTTGCATTTTGTTGTAAATAAACTACCAACAACTATTCTTTAAAATTGTGGCCGTTTTCTTTTACTGGTTCTTCTCCAGCCAGGAACACACCCATTAACATTTCTACTCCCAGCTCTGCAAGTCATTTCCTCAAGATTAAAGAGCACAAAGAATTTGCTTTGGAAGGAAAATTTAAAATACTTCCAACTGTACTAGGTTTTGTTGTGCCTCTGCTTTTTACAGATTTTATCAGGGCAGGTGCCCCATCCGTCTGGTGTCAGCCCATTCAGTTGTAAATGACCATTTGCTCGACAAGTTTCTCAGTAGGGAATCTAATTCACTATGCAGGGTTTGGCAGCCCAGTGTTGTAGTAAGTACTGGAAAGGAGACCACTCAAAACCTCTCAGACTTGTCTACAAGTCATTTCGGTTTAGTCCACAGGAATTTCACATGTGCAGTTATTCTTTAGGCCTTTCAGTAGAGGCTTACTCCCGAGAAATAAAGCTCTCTGTGCCAGAGCAGAGGCAGTCGCTTGTTCAGTATCGAAACGCTTCCCAGCGGGTGGGACAGGACACAAGGAGCAAACGCAGCCCTGGAAAACATTTAAGGTAGAAGTTACACGACAGAAACGAGCCAGACACGGCCAGCCCTGCGTGGCCTGGGGCAGTGAGGTCCTGTGGCAGTGGTGAAGCCCCCGTTGGGGTAAGAGTGCTGGAGTTGTGTCCTGCAGAGCCTTGGCCTCCACCGTGAGGTTGTGTCTGTCCGTGAGGTAGAATTCCAGCTGGAGGCTCCAGCAGGATGTGCCAGAGGCAGGACCCCAAAATCACGGTGCTGGCAGCACGTGTTCCCTGACACTAGTCACCAGCTAACGCAGCAGCACATCTAGTGACTGGGCCTGACCTGCTCTGTCCTTAGTTTGGTTTGACTTGCTGTTTTACACAGTCTGGGCTTGTGTAACGCTTGAAAATACCAGGTGGCTATGCACCCGGGAAAAAAAAAAGGGGGGGGAGTTGGGCTGCGCTCCTGCAGAGGAAGATCCCACCTTTATCCTTTACCAAACGGAGAAATCTCATAGGGCAGAAATGCAGTTAATTGGTAGCCGTAAACCCAGCGATGTTCAGTAGTGCAGATGCCAAGCACCTGGAGCCTTTTATCTGACAGATACAACGACCCCTCTCCGACCAGCGGCGGGACCGGCCGCGGGCACGCCTGACCCACGGCGCGCAGAAGCGCTCTGCAGGGGACTGCACAGAAGGAACCCCGGTGTCCCGGCAGAGTAAGGGCTCTCCTTTGGTTTTACAGCAGTTAAATATTCAGAACGGAGCACAGTAAGCCCCCCGGGCCCAGCAGAGGCCCCTGCACCCGGCCCTGCCCGGCGAACCCACACGGCGGCACCGCGTCCCTC